CAATCATAATATGTTAAGGCATTTTCCACTCCCCTTTCGTCACATTGTAGCATATGTCCTGACCTGTAGAAACAACTCTCCTGTGGCATCTTGTTGACTGTGGTTTTCCGTTCTTGGAGTAAAGAAAGGAAAGAAATGTTGTTAATAGTTGTGGTATCTGCAACGTTTCTGAGCGCAGATCTGTGTCTGTTGGTGGCCAAGGTAACTTTTGACTTTCATTGCATCCATCAAGCACTGCTCGTCGTATCACCATTGCCGCTTCTATAACAAGTCTCTCTTCAGAGGTTGCATTTTCAAAGGCAACTCCAACAGCCTGTCCAGTTAGAATTTCGTCTGAGTACACGAGATCGCTTGTCCCAGAATATCTCTGCCAGAAGTTGATCCTGGACTGGAAGTGCTTCACAAGTTTGTCCTTCAACTTATATGTCTTGTAGTTCTTGTTGTAAAACTGTGGATAATTTGTTTGCATGAAAGTGCAATACATCTCTTTCAAAAGAGTAATCCTAACAAGGGCCAGCGCAGTGACAAGTTCTTCCACAAACTGACGGACGTGCTGAAAAGCCTTGGAGTGGGCTTCTTCCTCTGCAGCTGGAGATTTCTTTCTTTCTTCAGCTTCTGCCTTTTCTTCTCCAGAACAGTATTTAGATGTAGAAACTTGTGAACGTCAACCCTCCTTACGTGTGTAAGCTTTTCTACATGGTTCATGATACCATGCCTCTTGGGCAATGAGATCAACATTTTCAATTTGGCCCCGAAGTTTTGAGTCAGATTTCGTGTTTACAGCTTCTTTTATAGAGGCCTCAGCTGTTCTGGTAACACATTTGACAAGTTTATGAACTTTCTTGGTTCTCTTGCTGTCGCGTGTCCATTTGGTAGTCTTTTCACAGAAAAGGCATTGAATAGGCAAGAGGCGTGTTGAAAACGATTGCTTTACCTTTTTCCTAGTGGAGCAAGACCCTTCTTGTGCTGATTTGTCAGACTCTCCAGATGAATGCCTTTTTCTTAGACTCCTCAAATTGATGAATGTATTGTAGCAGTAATCATGAAACCCATGTTGAGCAGTCAAACTCAGTCGGTATTCTTTCACAAATTGAGGATAGTCTATCACTGTCAGTTTCTGCAAGGCACCGTTGTGTTTTTGATTTTTGAATGGTGTCCCAGCGTCTCTCACTGAGGGGTTTTATTTCATCATGGCCTTTGAAGTTACAGTTATGTACTACACATGTCCTTTCTTCAAGTTGCTTTTCTTTCTTTTGAGATTTTGACCTCTCTTTCTTTAATGTCAGGGGTACTGATTTCAGTTCTGCCATGCTTGATTTTGTACGTTCAATTCAATAAAAAATTCATTCCCTGAAACATACAAAGAAAATTGTACGTTGTTAGAGAAACCAGACTTCAAATTTTTTACTTCTGTCTTCTTTTAAGTTTAAGTTAGTTCAAACTAACAAAATGTTTTTTAACACACTTTTATCATGCCCATATGACTGGTCTAGACTATATAGACAAAAGTACATATGACGCCTATTTGCCCACGTTTTTAAAATGACATACGCAGTTTTGCTTTCTAATATAGCAATCTCATAGATATTTAGTCATTTTGCATAAAATACTTCTCATTTTGTGCCTCAAAGTGTGTGTCTATCAGAAACCTATTGTACCGGGTTATAGAAGATTTGAAGCAATGGAATCATCATTTCTATAGATTTTGAGAAATCAGCCTTTGAATTTTATTTTTTCCTCTTTGCACCTTGTAATCTATTAACAAAAAAATATTTTTACAACACTTACATCATCGTATAACATTGAATTTTACGTCACATGAAAGAACACATTTTTGGCTTCACAGAGAACCCCAAAGTAAAAATCAAGTATTTTCTTGATTTCTGGACAATCAAGGGCAGTAATTCTGTAGATTGCCAACATTTTGGTGCAAACTTTTTTTGGGGAAGTCCCTAGGTCCTACCCTTTCAGAAAATCATAGTGGCGAAAAATCCCCAGGGGGGGGGAGGGGGGAGGTTCACTCCCAGTAGCCCATAGCCTATAGTATGTTCTCTCAGTATCGTTTATTCATGCTGTTCTGTTCTGTAAGAATTTATGACAGTGAATTCATCAACGTGTGCGAGGGTGTCTGGGTAAGCTTTGTGGTATTGTCTTCACTCAAGGAAGTAGGCCTACTGGAGAGAGAGAGAGAGAGAGAGAGAGAGAGAGAGAGAGAGAGAGAGAGAGAGAGAGAGAGAGAGAGAGAGAGAGAGAGAGAGAGAGAGAGAGGGAGGGAGGGAGGAAGGGAGGGAGGGAGGGAGGGATTGAGGGAGGGAGGGAGAGAGAGAGAGAGAGAATTACATGTACTATAGGAGCTGTGCGATGCATATGTTCTTTGTATTATTGTACAGCGCATTGAGCTCCTCTTTGTGGAAATGTGCTATATAAATGCAATGTATTATTATTATTATTGTGTATTTGGTCTCCAATTGTACTACCGTACTGTTATCTTTTTAAATTGCTTTTTCCTTGATTTCATTTTAATTCTTAATAATCTGGTGTCCCCTGATCAGTCTGTGGTGTAGCAGATAGGCACTTCACTGACACATGCAGAAGACTCGAGTTCAATTCCTAAGTTGGGAGAAATTATTATCGAGTACAAATCTCAGTAAATCTGTCCGCTGGAATGTTATATCCCTCTCAGTCTGGGTCGACTCATGGAAGTGACAGGCAGGGTTGGAAACCCACCTAAATGAATCGCACTGTGCTGATTGGGGTGTAACACTTAGATAGATACATTTAAAAGGAGTCCCGTGTATAGAAAGTTTTGTGGTTCCCACTGACGGGAGAGAAGCAACTGATGTAGTGACCGTCACGTGACACACTTTTTTGCTTTGAACAAACACTTTGTGAGCCACTTTTAGTTTGACTTTGAACAAACACTTTATTCATTTATTGTTTAACAAACGACAAAAATAAGGATGATAACAACATCATACCAAAATACTTTTATCTGTCAAAACAAAATGGATACGAGTCAGAAACTGAGAAACATGCCGTTCCTTAACTAAAATAATCATAAACATAGCATCAACTTTATAAAACAAAATAAGATCAATCAAGCACTGAACTTTGATTTCTCACCATACACTCTGATACACACACACTCATTTCACCACCATTACAGGACATCGAAATATTTGAGCACCTTGAAGCTTTAAAAGTAAAACAGCACGATATTGACTTGCTGCCTCAGCTCCATATTTTTCCCTATAACTAAACATATATTGGAATTCCAATACTCCATGCACCTCCGTGCACTCGGGACAGTAAATCAGGACAGGCACAAACACAGACACGGTCAGGATGACAGGCGAGTTTTCAACCTGACACATGACATATCACACGGTCACTGACACATGTGTCTCTTGGCTGACAGAGCCGTCATGACAACCCTCTGCCAAGAACAACATAACTTCACAGCATGCTATAGGATAAAATGAACACAGGACCGTAAAGGGAGACCTTTATTTTTAAGGGAGTGTATACAGACCCGGTAACCGGGAACAAAGTCACAAAGTATACACACCCGGTAGAGGAACTCTTTTGTGATTTCGGAAAGTTTCAGCGCCCTCTTGGCTCAGGGTAGACCCAGGTTCTTCTAGATCTATGGCCTAGGTCTAGATCTAGACCAAGGAGATTAAAAGTTCTACGCTCCTTGATCTAGACAGACAGACATAAATCATTGATCTAGTTACGAGGCTAGCCTAGATCTAGATCTCTAAATGAAGATTGCGGATGTCTTTTCGATGAACGATTGTTTTTCCTCTATTTGGAGTTGGAGGAATCACAATGTGAAGAAAAGAAACAATGTCATAATTTCAATCGAGCAGTCACCCCCCCTCTCTCTCTCTCTTCTGTACCGCTCACATTCTCTTTTTCTTTGTCTCTGTCTTTCTTTCTCCCCACTCCCACCTATTTCCCACTCTATCTTTCTCTCGTTCCCTCCTGCCAACTGGGACATGTCATCTAGCACTTCCCCCTGCTCGCTCGCTCGCTCTCTCTCTCTCTCTCTCTCTCACACACACTACCTGGTCTGGGCGCTGAAACTTTCCGAAATCACAAAAGAGTTCCCCTACTGGGTCTGTACACTTCGTGACTTGGTTACCGGGTCTGTATACACTCCGTATTTTTAATTATCATTTCCAGCAGTCCCCTGTTCCTCCACACTCCCCCATCTGTACACCGCTGCAACATTTGGATTTGATGTGACAGCATGACACAGGAGGCAGACACAAAATGGAGACTCTAAACCATGACCACTGTCATCACAATCCACATCAACCAGCACAGAATAGCCAGGCTGGTCAAAACATGACAGAAACTAGAACACGAGGACTAGATCAATTAGACTCCATGCTGAAGAAATTACATCATGTAACAATTTTTCTCTGTCAAAGCCAAAATATTGTTCGAAAGAACGATATTAATGGCTTCATTCTCAGTCACAATGTTTGATTAAACATAATTGCTGGCAATGACACATGAACAAACAGACATGTGAACACACACACATAGGCAGAAGATGCCGGTACAATGCCTTGCATTCAATTATCATGAAAAAATAACTGAGAGTTTGTGTTGAAAAGAGCCATCACGAGGAAATTGCGTTGTTTCCTTTCCTACACAGACTGGTAATCAGGCATCACAGCGAGCACACAGATAACACACAGTCTCAGCGAGCACACAGATGACACAGTCTCAGCGAGCACACAGATAGCACACACTCAGCGAGCACACAGTCTCAGTGAGCACACAAATGACACACTCAGCGAGCACACAGTCTCAGCGAGCACACAGATGACACACAGTCTCAACGAGCACCCAGATAATACATACTCAGCAAGCACACAGTCACAGCAAGCACACAGATAACACACAGTCTCAGCGAGCACGCTGTTGTAAAGCATTTTTTCAAGCACTCTCCCTTGCAGATACACAAGCAAACTATTTACAAGAAATCTTCAGATTCAACTTCCAAAACGTACACACGAAAAATAATCCTCCTACCTCTATTTTTAATCAACGATGCATAAAATGAAACGCGCAGGAAATCCTATGGTGCTATTTTGCCGAATCATATAATACAGTTGTATTCAAAAGTAGTAAAAAAACAAAAATACCCTCTAGAGGAGTGGCCACATGTTTGCTTGGGAAAATTGTGCAGGTCACAACCCCCCCCCAAAAAAATTGTGCAGGTTACAATTGTTACAACACAACAATCTTTACACAATGTGTCTCCCCCCTCCCCCCCCCACCCCATGCAACGATGTAAGATAGGAGTAGGACTGATCTAGAACTAGAAAACTGTACAGTATAAACACACACAGAGCCTGATCCAGGCCTGGTCAGGTTCTCACAGGGATTCCACTATCTCTCAGCTCACACACAGGTAGAGGTTCCCTAGTCTGTCAGCTCACACACAGGTAGAGGTTCCCGAGTCTGTCAGCTCACACACAGGTAGAGGGAGGTTCCCGAGTCTGTCAGCTCACACACAGGTAGAGGTTCCCGAGTCTGTCAGCTCACACACAGGTAGAGGTTCCCGAGTCTGTCAGCTCACACACAGGTAGAGGTTCCTGAGTCTGTCAGCTCACACACAGGTAGAGGGAGGTTCCCTAGTCTGTCAGCTCACACACAGGTAGAGGATCCCGAGTCTGTCAGCTCACACACAGGTAGAGGTTCCCGAGTCTGTCAGCTCACACACAGGTAGAGGTTCCATAATCTGTCAGCTCACACACAGGTAGAGGTTCCCGAGTCTGTCAGCTCACACACAGGTGGGGTTCCACCATCAGTCCGTCAGACTGTTCGTCAAGCAGGAACGTAGGCCGCGACTTGGATAGAATCTTCTCGTTCTGTAAAACAAAAACAACAGGAGCCTGAAGCATAGCAACACACATGTTCTCATACATGGAAAAGCAGTTTGTTTTATTTCGAAGAGGCTATAGCATGCCGAGTTATGCTGCATATCGCTGTGTCTGTGTGTAGCATGCATCTCTATCACTGACTGGAACAAACAGGGGGACATTACAATGTCTTCCCCTTTCGCATTACAATGTTTTTGCCTTTTGATGAACAGCGAGATGAGTACATTACCATTATTGAAAATGTTCTTTCATTTAATAATAAAACTATGTGTACAACATTGTTTTAGATTAGTTTGGACGAAACTGAGATAGTATTAGTTTAAGTAGAAGTTTTACAGCACTTGAAAAACAAATAAAATATAAATATAAGTGCCGAAGATTGGAGGTGTGATTGTACGAGGAAAGTAACACACACAAAGAAAATGAGAGAAGAGAAAAGGTAGATATTTGATGGAAAAGAAGGATCAAACCACACCAGAGCACCCACCAACCACCGATACAGGAGTTGTGTGAGTCCTTCATATATATGACATACTTCATCAGTCAGTCCACAGGTCTGTTAAGTTATTCTCTCAAGTTTGACAGCCCACTTATGACAGGACCGTAGAATAGATGCCCATGCCACATATATATACATTGTACATGTAATAGATCTAGTTGAACCTGCTCTAATGGTCACTTGTGCAAGTTGCCATCAAGAACTCTCTCTCTCTCTCCCCTCTCTTTCTCTCTCTTTTCTTTTTATCTCTCTCTACCTCTCCCCCTCTCTCTATCCACCTCACCCCCTCCCCCCTCTCTCTCTCTCTCTCTCTCTCAGAGCACAAACAAGTACATACCTGTACACACACACGGACCGCCAGCTGCCCGTGATCTAGGCGGGGTGCAGGGAGACCAGATTCTGTCGACACGCCCTCATGTTGAGTCTCTGCAGTGCCACCTGAGCCTCCTGGCTGGAGCCGAACCCGACCACGGCGTTGCCCGTGGGCTTGCCCTCGCTCGAGTAGTGCAGACGGATGGAGTCTCCGAGCGGCCGGAATCCCTGGAAGAAGTGCATGATCTCGGCGATGGAGATGTCTGGCGGGAAGTTCTGGCAGCGCACATAGAACAAGTTCTTGTTGAGCACGCCGGGCGGGAGGATGCTCTTATTGCCGCCACCCTGCAGCACGGGGACTCCGGGACCTTGTGCTGGGGGCTGCTGCTGCTGCTGTTGGGCCGGGGGCTGCTGCTGTTGCTGCTGTTGAGGCTGCAGTTGCTGAGGCCCCAGTAGACCCATGAGAGGTTTGGGTGTCTGCGAGTCCTGAGTGCCCCCAGTGGGAGGTCCCGGGGTGTCCCCAGACTTAGGCGCAGTCACGGGTGTGGGGGCCGCGGGCCCGGAACCTTTGCTCACCATCCCCTTTGGCCCAGCGGCGGGTTTCTGCTCAGGCGCCGGCTGGTTCTGCTCGCTGGCTGGCTGGCTACCTCCGGACACCAGTGGCGGTGCCCGCTGTGGTTCTGGGGCTGGCCCTCTGGGCGGCTGCTGCACAATCCCCTGCTGACGTGCATTCTCCAGTCGGCTCAGCATGTCTTTTTTCCCGATGGGCTTGACCGCCACGATGTGCCGACCCATGGACGTCTTGTCTTTCTTCACCGCTTTCTCAAAGTCATTCCGGAACCTGAACTCCACGAAACCTTCCCCTAGTGGCTTTCCCCGCCCGTCGTGAGCGATGTTGATTCCCCTCAAGGCTATCTGGCTGTCAGAGAAGAATTCTCGGATGTCTTGGGGCGTGGCCAGTAGGGGCAGACCTTGTATGTGCACACACACCGTGTCTAAGGTAGGTGGCTGCGTGCTGGGACTCTCGCTGCTGCCGTTGGATGCTGCTGGTGGTGTGGGCATCCTTAAGCCAGGATTGGGTGGGTGTAGAGGCTGGGACGGAGACATCTGATTGGGTCGTGGTGGGCCTGGAAATGAGGGCCTAGGAGGTGGCGGACCTTGCGGGCCTTGTGGACCTTGCGGGCCTTGTGGACCTTGCGGTCCGGGAGAGTTCATGGCGCGGACGGCAGCGAACCCGCCCTTGGCCCTGAGGTTGGCTCTCTGCGTCATCTCGCCCTGCTTGGCCTTCAGCTCTCCGGCATCCTCCAGTTTCCCTGGGGCCACCCTGATCGTCACCGTCCCAATTTTGTTAGCGTCGTGAGTCAGAGCCTTCTTGTAGTCAATGTCGGATTTGAACTCCACAACAGCTTTGCCAGTGGCCAGTCCACTGTCATCGTACTCAATGTAAATAGCATGACCGTTGTTGTCGATCTTGAGACCAGTGAAAAACTGCACAATGTCCTGTGTCTTGATGTTCAGGGGTAGATTGTTGAGTTGCACGGCGTAAGCAGCCTGCTCATTGGGCACGGCGCTAGCTTTGGGGATTTCTTTACTGGGTTCCTCGGCCCGCACCGGGGCGGGATCTCTCTTACTGTAGGGTTTGAAAGAATCTACAGCCTTCTCAAACTCCTCTTCTGCGCAGTGAGTAACCGTCACACTCTTGCCGTCCACTTTGTCCCCACTCCTCCTCACAGCTCGCATCGCATCCTCTGATCGAGTGAAGCGAACAAAAGCCTCGCCAACTCTCCGACCTTGCTCATCATTGATCACTTTGAGGCCATCGTAAGGAATTTCCAGCAACTGAAAGAATCTCCTGACATCCTTGTAGCTGATGGTGGTCGGCATGTTTTTCACAAACACACTTCTACTCCTGACCTCGGAGCGCCGAGGCGAATCTCGCCGCGACCCGTCTGAGCCCCGGTCCCACGAGGACATGTCCCGCCGACTCCTCCTGTCTCTGTCTCTGCTCCTATCCCGCGACCTTGACCTCCTCCTGTCTCTGTCTCTGTCGTACTTGTCCCTAGACCTGCGTTCGCTGGACCTGTACTCCCGGTCGCGGTCCCGGTCCCGGTCGCGCCGGTCCATGTCCCTGAAGTGGTCGCGGTCCGAGTCGGAGCGGCGGGAGGAGCGGATGTCCATCTCCCGTCTGCTGGCCTCGGGGTACCCTCCCTTGCCCTCTGGACCTCTCCCCTCAGGCACGGGCTCAGGGGCATCTCCCAGTAAGCCCTTGCTGGGGCCGGGGCCAGGCCCAGCGTTCATGTTGCCGCGCATGCCTCGTTGGTCGCCCATCATAGGAGGCCCTGGCCTATCCGGCCCGCCTGGCCCGCGGATGTCCCGGTCTGGAAACCTGTCCTCCATCCCCGGCTCATCGAACCTTCGGTCTACATCCATGCCCCGCCCACCTCGCCCAAATGGCGGGCCACCACGACCCCTCATAGGATATGGCTCCCCGCGGCCTCGCGGAGGTCCACGGTCCATTGGGTGACCTCCCCTTCCTGGGAAGCGATTGTCAAAGTCCATGTGCTCGGGGTAGTCGTGGGGTGGCCTGCCTCGGCCTGGCCCGGGGCCGTAGTCGAACAAGCCGTCGTCAGCCGGAGGCGGAGGTCGGCGCGGACCTCTAGCGTCCATCCTCTGGTCCATGTCCATGGGTCCCTCCCCAGACATGTCACCCGCTTTGTTGGGCTCATCCATGCCGCCCGGCATGTTGCCTGCGCCCATACCTCCACGAGGGGGAGGGAACTTGTGCATGTCTCCGTCTCCTGGGGCGTTTCGAAAGCGGTCCCAGTGAGGAGGTCCGTCCTCCCGACCCCCAGGAGGCATGTCGGGACCCCGACGCGAGTCCTGCTCTTCCATGTCACCTCTAAATGGTCTTCTGTCCGGTGGGAATCCTCTGTCCGGGGGAAAGCCTGGCCCATCGCGGGGGTCGTCGCGGCCTGGGCGGAAACCCGACCGGAAATCTCCGCGTCCGTCTCTGTCCCCGTCAAAGTTGCCTCGGTCAAATCTTCCAGGCGGCCTCATGTCGTCCCCTCTGTCTCCGTACCTGTTGTCCGGTGGGAAACCACTGTCCCCTGGTCGACGGTCCATGAAGTTTCCAGGTCTTGAGCGGTCATCCATTGCAAACCTGTCGTCTGGAGGAAATCTCCTCCCTTCCCGGGGGTATCTTCCGTCACCGGCGGGGAAGTCGTTATCTCTGCCAGGGTCCCTGCTGTCCATGAAGTCTCTTCTGTCATCTCGCGGGGGGCGGTCATCTCGTGACATTCGGTCGTCAGGACCAAAGCCTCTGTTCTGTGAGGTAAAGCCTCGGTCGTCATTGGGCGGGTACCAGCCTCTGTCCATGCCCGGCATTCTGCGGAACTCATCGCCTCGCATCTGATCATGCGGAGCAGGTGGCCTTCCCTCTGAGGGCAAGTCTTTATTGTCCATCCCGGCTTGCCGGCCACTTGGGAACATTGCCGGAGCTCCCAGCCCTGGGGTTGGCGTCTTGGTCTCCAGATCCATGTCAGTGTCATCCTCCGGTGGGTAGCGGGTGCTGGGCACGGCGTCCTCCGTGGCTTTAGGGGGCACGTCTTCCACACGGTCAGAGAACCGACTGGGCCGAGTCCTTTTGCTTGTCACTGGCGCAGAGGCCAAATCAGGAAATTTCTCATCCGGTCTCACGTCTCTCCCCGGTAAAAACGGCACGTCTTTCTCCTCTCTACCGATCATGGGGCTAGTACCTGGACCCTGCACCGGCCGGACAGAACTTGGTTCGGTTCTCATGGGAGCTCGTGAGAACTGGTCAAATCCTCTGTGGTCCCTGCCCATCGCCACAGGGTCCTCGTCTCTGGGCCCTCTGTCAAACATTTTGTTGTCGGGGTACCTCGCGTCGGATCTACCACCTTGCCACTGGTCACGACCACCCCTGTCCTGCGGCCGCATCAGATCAGCCCCTCCCATGGCTGGATCTCCTATCATCCCTCCACCCATCATTCGGTTTTCACCAGCAGGAAGTTTTTCTCCCAGCCCCATGTCCTCCACTCTGCTCCCCCCAATTGTAGCCTTTTCTTCCCTCATTTGATTGCGCATTCTGTTTTCAGGAAAATTCATGTTCATTCCCTCCGACATTTGGGGATCCCCTGCCATAGGGTTCATTCTCTCGCCGTATGAACCGCGGTTGCCAGGAAGGTTCATCTGGCCCATCATACCCCCTGGCCTAACGTCATCAGCGGGGCCACTCCGCCCTCTGTCTGCCATGCCAAAACCCTCTCGCTTGCCTCCCATGCCCATGTGGTCGGGCACAGAGCCCATGCCTCTGCTCATTCCCTGCATGTCTCTCATCTCCTCTGGCTGGCCCATGCCCATATTTGGTCTATTCTCCAGTTGGCCCATACCCATATTTGGTCTGTTCTCCATTTGACCCATGGCCATATTTGGTCTGTTCTCCATTTGGCCCATGCCCATATTAGGTCTGTTCTCCATTTGGCCCATGCCCATATTTGGTCTGTTCTCCAGTTGTCCCATGCCCATATTAGGCCTGTTCTGCATCATCCTGTCACTGACAAATCCTTGCTTGGGGTTGTTCATCCCTTGTGACATCATGTTCTGGTTCCTGCCCTGGCCCATCCCAGAGTCCATGCCCATGGCTCCCCCAGATCCCATCATGCCTTGAGCCGACATCGGAGTCCCATCTCGGAATTGGTTCACACCGGACTGAGAGCCATTCCCAAACTGGCCCATACTGTCACCACCACCACCACCGCCACCAGGAGCTCTCTCTCTTTGGTTGAGCCCACCACCTCGCATGCGCTGATCGTCCGGAAACTGTCCGCCCATCGACTCACTCCCAGTTCGCCCTCCGCCATAGAAACCCTGCCACTGGTTCTGCATGCCCGTGCCGCTGCCTTGATGGGCTGCCATGGAACTCCCGTCCCCTGCATGGCTGCCCCCTCCAGCACCGCTACCCCCTCCTCCACCACCACCACTTTGCTGTTGACTGTCCATTGGCGAGGGGAAGCCGCCGCTGGGGAGGTTCCCGTACTGTGACCTGTGCGGCTGTGTCTGCGACAGGCTGGGGGCAGGGACGGCAGTTGGTGGTGCCCCAGCAGCTGTTGTCGTCGTGGCGGCCGGCGGGGCTGGGGCGGGCATGGAGCCCGAGCGGGCGGCGTCGATGACGCTCTGCATCTCCGACTTGCTGCTGAGGAACAGCTGCACGGGCACGCCGTTAAGCGGACACAGGTTCATCTTCATGGCCATGCGCGCATCGTCATCCGAGGCAAAGGCGATGAAGGCGTCGCCGCCCTCCCCACCGATGATGTGCACGCCTCCGGCCGGGATGTTGAGGCCGGAGAAAAAGTGCCGGATGTTCATGGCACTGGCCGACCAGGGCAGACCCTGGAGCCGGATGATCACCGACATGTTGCTGCCGAGCTCTAGTCACTCCGTGCAGGCTGCTCACACACACACACACCTGGATGGGGAGGAGAGGGAAATGTTATATATTATATCGTTTCTACACAAGACATGAATGTTTTCTTTTTCTTTCCTGTACCTTACAACTCCCATACCATGTAGGTTTATTCAGCATCCCACCAATACAATTTTAGATCATTTAGTTTAGAGGACGGGCTTTGAGCCTGCCTATTACTATATAAATATAAGGGTACAATTATTGCAATCAAGTTTTTAGTTTTAGTACCGTTATCAAAAGTAAAAGTTTTATGGCTACTCCGTAGAAAGATGGAGGGAAAGACAAAGAGCGGAAGAAGACAGAGCAACATAATACAAAGATGGACTGAACAACTTTATGACAACCAAAATAGTGAGGAGGAAAGACTGAGCTGACCAGGAAGACTGACAACAGGAAGGGGTGGGGCACCGTATTGTATTGACAGTACAAGACCTGAGAGCTGAAGGAGAGGAAGATGTCCGGGCATTACTCCAAAGTGCAGTAAGGCCACCATTTAGGAGAATTCTTCACTCCCACTTTGTTGTCACATAAAATAATAATAATAATGAAGATCATTTCTATAGCGCCCACTCCCGTGTAAACACAGCTCTAGGCGCTTCACATAAATGCATGTA